CATGTGTCCTTATTGCTATAAGCATACAGCAGGGTTGTTTACTATGTGGTAAACTAGGTGGAAGTGGTTTTGAATTGCCATGGAGATGCTAAAATCTGAAACATTTGTTTCCTCAGCCCTAAAGGCAGGAGGATCTAGCTTGTATAAGACCAGTGTAGAAGCACCTCTCATTATTGTCTCTATGTTCAATCTGCCATTATTCCTATTATCTTGCTGGATCAAGTGCACAGACATTCTAATTATATTCAAATATCAGTAATTTTTGTAGAGAGTCTTCTGTGTCTTTAACTGTCTTTTATGCATGCTCTGTTATCTTTTTTGTATTATTTTTTTTATTCCTTCTGCACTGTGGGTTTCAGTGCAGAAACATTTAAATTCAGATAATTAGCATGTTCATTTTGATGGACATTTTGTTTGTGTTGCAAGTGTGAAACTCTTTTAGGGTAGAACAAGGTGTGTTGCATGTACAGTTTCTCAGTTGTTAAATAAAATGAGTTATATTGAAAACAGACATCTTTGTTTCCATTTTCGGCCTATTATTTGAAATATAATTTATTTGTAGTTGTGAACGATTTTGTTCAGGGGTAAGATTAGGCATCAGGCTTAGTATAAAAGACATTGAATTGCAATTTTGACACTTTGATGGTTTGGCCATTTAGTAAGAATGCAACCGGATCAGATTGCCTATAAGGCCTTTTACAGAAGAACATCGGGAAGAAAGGCCAGAGGAAGACCCAGGAAAAAATGGATAGATGGAGTAGCTGAATACGACCAGAAGATCCAGAAAACTGTCACTCGAATCACGCGAGAGGCACAAAACTAATATTTTAAACCACGACACTGGGCTGCAAGCCGGTAAAATTGAAGAAGACAATAGATAGATGGCTGTAGATTAGAAATTGTTTTTCTCTCATCTTATCCTTATGTTTTTTGGTCTCCCAAGTTTTATACATAGGCCATCAGCCAGCTCATGCAAACCCCTTTATAGACTTGTCGATAACTGACTGAATATTGTAGTTGTAGATTTTAGAGGTTTAAAGTTTTATAGAACTGATTTCATTGCATCAGCTTTTGTCCAATACAAGTCTGTGTCTGAAAGTATAGAAGTGATTTCTACGAATTGCACCTATGAGCCAAACATTGCAGTCCATGTAACAAGCTCAGGACCATTTGAGTGTGAGGCAAACAACTAAGCCGTGGAGACCCCACAGCAGGGCTATTCAACTGACAGCCTGCGGGCCAAATCTGTCCACAGAGACCTTGCAAGTGGCTCACGAAAAATTGCCAGTTGTACTGTATTTATGATCTTTCTGTGCTGGAGTTTGGGTCCTTGGTCCATCGCGATCCCCATTTTGGCCCTTGGTGAAACCTAATTGAATAGTCCAAATGTACAGCCTATGAGACCACAAAGATCTCACAAATGTGCATCAAATTTGGCCCTTAAAGTCTTATCAAGATGTCTACAAATAATTTCCAATTGTATTGAGTTAATGGGGTTTAATCCCAGCTGCGGGCTATGCACCTTGAGTTGGTTTCGACAGTGGTATCAGGGGGCCGACCATCCAGAGAGCAATGGCAAACTACTGGACTTAAGAATGCCTAGAGAAACCACACAACAGCCAGGGGCTGCTGGGGTTTGTTCTGCAACGCCCTGTAAAGGATACGCAACTACCCTTATTGAGTTGTTGATCATTCACCACTGGGGCTGCCGCCTCCAGTCTGTAAGCATCACTTGTCAACACTGGTCCCTGAGTAAACTTAGTTAAATAGCTCTGCCCTTGAGTATTCTTAACCATCTAGTGTTGAATTCTGATTTTCTTGAACTCTTCCATAGTCAGTACTTTTTTCTTCCAGATTTGTTCGTAAACATAAGACAATTTTAGTCAGTGGAAGTCGCAAGCTTGAAGATCACTGCCATTTTAATCATTTAAGTAAGTTTACTCAGGGGCCAATCTGTTCTAGAATGGGGATAGCCACAGACTTAAGCCTCAGCCTCTTTTCTATCTGTTGTCTTTCTGCGCTTGATGACATCACAGGCACGGTTAATGATTAGTTTCCAGGATAGTACCTGCTCGTTGACTTGCTGCATGGTGATATTGTTCAGTTTCAGCAAGCTGTTAACTCCATTCTTCTTGATCATCCTCTGCCTCTGAATGTTTTCATTCTCATGTTGTATGCTCTTGCATCCAGGGATGTTGGGTTCGTTCTGACCAGGTGGTCAAACCATAACGGTCTTTATTTTTTAAATAAATGTAATTGCTGGGGTTGATTTCACAATTCTAATGATATCTGCGTTTCTTTTATGGTCTCTTCTTCTTATGTCGACTGCTTTTCTAAAAAATCAAATTTCACACGTGTAAGTTTCTGATTTTGTTCTTTGTTACTGCTTGAGTCCCAGCTTAGAAAGATCAGTAATACAATACAATTGGCATGTGATCCATGGCCATGATTGCTGACTTCCAGTCAGCATGGTAATTTATACCTACTGTGTATGAATGTTCCATTTACATGGAACTTTGTGGGGGGTTTTTTCTTCTCGGAGATGGCCATAATTTTAGCTTCCTTGCATTTCTAATCTAAGCCTAGAATTATATTAATGCATGCATTCCTCTACAAATTCTTATGTATACAGATGACTACTGCAGTTAAGCTCTGAATGACTCCTGCATGTGAGCTCTCAACAACTGCACTTAAGCTCTGTATGACTCCTGTGCTTGAGCTCTGAATGACTTCTGCACTTGAGCTCTGAACGACTCCTGTACTTGAGCTCTGAACGACTCCTGTACTTGAGCTCTTAACGACTCGTGTACTTGAGCTCTGCATCCTTTGCTTGAGCTCTGAACGACTCCTGCATTTGAGCTCTGAAAGCCTCCTGAGCTTCAGCTCTGAACGACTCCTGTACTTAAGTTCTAAGAGACTCCTGCACTTGAGCTCTGAATGACCCCTGCACTTGAGCTCTGAATGACCCCTGCACTTGAGCTCTGAACGGCTCCTACAAACGCTAAATGACGCCTATGTAATATTTTAATGTAGATCTATCTGTGACATGTTTCATGCTGGCGAAAGCCTTCTCGTCGTAGCAATAATTTTGTCATGTATATTTCTACCTGTTCTTGTAAAGCCAGCAGCTTGTATGTGGGGGAAATGGTTAAGCTTTTTTCCTTGTTCGTTCATTGGTTTCTTTCACGGCTGCCTGTTCAGTTCACAAATACAATTTTTCCGGAGATCCTGGAGCTACAGAGTTCGTGCTTTGTGCGACGATCTCGACAAGCAGCTAGCCATTATGCGGAGAGCAGTCAATGTATATAAGAAAACAAAACCAGTGAAATCTTCTTCGCGCTCACCAGCTGTAAACACTGGTGGAAAACTAGTTGTTCTAGAACCTGAGTGCTGCGCGCCACATCCGTTTTACAGATCTGACTAATCTGTATGCAGACTGTTGGTTCCTTACCTAAAAGACAAGTGCACTCCGACTTTGAAGAAAAGCCTAGTCAGTCGACTCTTTACAACATGCTCGTTGGGGGAGCAGTCAGTCTATTCTAGTTTTCCCCACAATAAGAGCCCTGGAGCCCACATTGGAAAACCGGTGCATTGAAGTCGCTCCTCTTAGCTTTAACCTTAAATGGAAAAAAAGGGGGGGGGGGTGGGTATACCTCTCACTTACAAGAAGACCATGGAGTGAACGCCTGGACAATTTTAATCCCTT